TATTCTATTCTATTCTATTCTATTCTATTCTATTCTATTCTATTCTATTCTACTCTACCCTACCCTACCCTACCCTACCCTACCCTACTCTTATTCTATTCTATTCTATTCTATTCTATTCTATTCTATTCTATTCTATTCTATTCTATTCTATTCTATTCTATTCTATTCTAGTCCAGTCCAGTCCAGTCCAGTCCATTCTATTCTTTATTCCTTTCCTTTCCTTTCCTCCCTACCCTACCCTACCTTACCCTACCTTACCCTACCCTACCCTACCCTACCCTACCCTACTCTACTCTACTCTATATTCTGCTCTGCTCTGCTCTGCTGTATTCTGTTATGATGAACCTGAGATTCTGACAGTTGCTGTACTCACCCTCTCCCCCATCCCCGCCGTCTTGTGACTGAACTCAGTAGCATGACCACACTTACAGCTGTTTGCAGTGTCCCATGTCCACATGAACGTGTTTTATGACAGTTTTGTAAAACCAGCATTTACTTCGAGTTTTCAGCAAAATCATGCTCCTGACGAACCACTGGTTTGCTTAAGGACCACGACATTCAGTTAATGGAGCCCTAGTGGTGCAGAAATCAGAATGCAGTATTGCAGGCAAACTCTGCCCACTGCCAGGAGTTCGATCCTGACCAGCTCAAGGTTGATTCAGCTTTCCAGCCTTCCGAGGTCGGTAAAATGAGGACCCAAATTATTAGGGGCAAGAGATTGTTGGGAGCAATATGATGACCTCAGCAAACCGCTTGGAGAGTAAACCATTTAGAGAGAGCTGCAAAGCACTATGAATTGGTTCATTATTATTATTGTGTTATTGCTGCTGCTATTAATGATTTTGGTATCGTGACTTACAAATGTGATGGGTAGACTCCACTACGGTCATAAGTCAAGTCTGTACTATGTGTGCTTTTGGTTACTGTACCTCCAAAAGGAGATTGTGGAGCCAGAGAAGATTCAGAGAAGGTCAACTAAGGTGAAAGTGGCTTTTCTATGAGGAAAGATTATGACATTTGGGATTTTCAGTCTAAGAAAGGAAGAGAATGAGAGGGGTTAATTTTCCCTCTACACTAATTTTACAACCCAAACAATGAAGAAATGAGAAGACACAGAAAATACACCTTGGTTTGCATTGTTATTTCTTTGTAATTGTTATCTTTCCCACTTTTAAGGAGCTTAGTGACATATATTGTCTTTGAGTCACACTATTTTATCGTATGACAGCTCAGTGAGGTGTGAGACACTGGCCTTCTTCCGACAATACATCATCCCCTGACCACACACTTTCCCATTAATTATAGAGGGATAGAATCAAGATCATACGAAGTTCTAGTACCACTTTACAAAGCCTTAGTAAGACCCCACTTGGAATGCTGCATCCAGTTCTGGTCACAATATTTAAAAAATATTGAGACTCTGGAAAGAGTGCAAAGGAGGCTAAAACATATGAAGAATGGTTACAGGAATTGGGTATGTCTTGTCTAATGAAAAGAAAGACTAGGGGAGACCTGGTAGCAAAGTTCCAATATTTGAGGGGTTCCTATAAAAACAAGGGGGTCAAACAATTTTCCAAAGCACCAGAAGGCAAGAGAAGAAACAATGGATGGAAATGAACCAAGGAGAGAAGCAACGTAGGAGAAAGTTCCTAATGGTGAGAGCAATTAACCATCTCTGTGGTCCCTTCCAATTCTATTATTCTGTGTTCCTTCTCGCTGGTTGTGAAGGCCCACGATCCCACAAATTGAGTAAAGAACTACAATTCTGGAAATAAAAGTCCTCCGCTTCTAGGAAGTGCCTACTGTTGTGGTCTGCCAGTGGCCAGCAGTGCTGGCAGCAGACTCGGACAGTGAAGAGGTTGGGGAGGAATATGGGCCAGTCCTGGAGTCTGGGGAAGGCTCTGATGAGTGCTCTGCATCAGAGGCAGAGATGGGGCCAGGGGCGTCCGACAGTTATCAGCTGCCTTCGGAGTCGAAGATCAGTAGGGCAGAAGAACAGCTGGAGCCTGTTCCCAATATGCACATGCGCAGAGCTGCCAGGAGAAGGGAAGTTAGGGAACAGTTAAGGAACAAGAGTCAAGTAAAGGTACAGGTGGATGGTGAATGGCCCCTCACATAGGGAATAAAGAGGAGTGAAAGGGGAGTGGTGTTTGCAGGAGACAATTAGTTAATTTAATTAGAGTGAAGATTTTGTCCTGACTCCTTGCCAAGTATTTTCTGCTGGAGCGTTGTGCTTGGGAGCGATCGGCCTGGCAACTCTCCAAGCCTGATAAGGTCTGTAGTTGTAAAATCTCTTGAAAAACTGTTTGTCGGGACTTTGCTGGATGTGAACGAGAGGAATTCACATTAGCTTAAATAAAAGAGGTTTTGCTGGGACGAGGAGTCTGCTTTGTGATTTTGGGAAGCCTAGGTCAGAATACCGACCCTTAATGCTGTAGGCTTCCAAAATCTACATAACCAAAACCCATAGCAGGAATTATGAGTTTTTCAGACCTCTTTGCTGCCATCTAGTGATTGTCTGGAATTATACATCTCTATCTGGTCTCTAATGAGTCCTTGTACCATGAGATTCCCGGTAAGACTCTATGATGTCAAGCAGTCAATAGGAAGTGGCGTTTGGCCACTGCAGCCAATCAGTGTTGGGAAGAGTCCTGCTACAGACGTCATCTATACCTACTCTTCATCTCTTACTCTGTCAGCAGTGTGGACACAATGGATTTAATTGTCTTGGTTTAGAAGTTGCCTGGACGGACT